TGACGTCGAGAGAGAGAGAGAGAGAGAGAGGATTGCAGAGAAACATGGGGAAGAAGAACAGCAAGTTGAAACAGGATACCATCGATCGACTCACCAGCGACACGTATTGTGAGTATCCAATGGTTATTACTTTATTCGAAACGCAATTTTCATGCCGCTTTGTCAATCTTGTTTACCACCAATGCTAGCGAGAGAAACTTCATCGAATCTGAATCCAGTTTTCATCGATATTTCGCGTCGCGTTCTTTACGAATTTGCTTCGAATCATTAAGGCTGTTACGCGTATTTATATTGTTGTTTTATTTTTCACAATACGATCAGAAAAGTATCAATTTAAGGGAATAGATGAAACTTTTTAAATTATATATATATAAGTTTAGTTAGATCTGCAACTACTTCTTTAACGAGATAATCGGATTATTCAAAGGAAATGTTCATCGTTCCCGCATAGATCTTTAGCCTATCCGTGTTTATTTTTATCTGCGAATCACAAATTAATGGATCGAAAACAACGCGAGGGATCAAAAGATGTTGTCCAACAATTGCTTAAATTAGCACGTTTTGCTTTGTCGTCTCACTGAGAAGTTGAGCGTTTCCTTTTGTTAAAATCCATTATTCTCGATCGCTTATCGAATAAAAATCAGAAAGATCAGAAAGTGTAATCTCCTCGTATCGAGCAACATTTTCTTGAAAACATTTTTTCCTCCCCCTCGAAACGAATGAAAAATATTTTATTTACAACGCGTCTGACTATTTAAAGATTATTTTCTATTATATCGATCGATTTATCGATTCTGCTTGTATGTACGATATCACTCACTCTTATTTATATTATCTCTCTCTCTTTTTTTTAAATTCTTTCGAAACGTTTCATTAAATCGTCACCAACAAACAAAATTCACGTGATCACCATCAAGTTGAATCGTGCTCTATTTTTCAAGTCCCAACTTCAAGTTGTTGACGAAGTTCACTTCGTTTCCAAGTACGGACCCAACTCGTTGCACCTCAATTTCTCGAATGAACGAACGAACAAAATTAAATCTCCAGCTTTCAATTTCCAACAATTATCGAAATGGGATTAAAAACTCGTGGTAATCAACTATTTTGAGCACAAAGTCTTTCTTTTTCCGAAGCAAATTTGCACGGATCGTTTGTCGAAGGAACGACAAAAGCTTTCGATCGATCACGATCAACGACATTCGAACAGATATGTAAATTACCAGCATCGCGCGATTCAAGGATGATCTCTCTTAACGAAGAAAGATCCTTGAAACTGATGCTTTATTGCATCGGCAATTTATTTTTAAACGCACGACGAGAGATATTAAATTATCAAGAGTTATTAAGAATTCGCTTCTTTTCTTTACTGATTATATGATAATAAATTAAACTTAACATCCGAGATATTGAAAAAAATTAGATTAACCTTTACTGATAATTATTCACACTTTGCTGAAGCAATTCCATAATTTACAAATAACACAAATTTATATTACTTTCTAAACACACTGGGTGGTCCATTTAATTCTGTGTGTCTTGTCTCTGGCGTTATATCGAAAGACGTTTCACACTGTGAAATATTTCAAACTGTTATATTCTAATACAATTAATTTTCTTTTTCCTTTCTAGATCAATCAAAATCGAACATTTACTCGAAACGATAAAATTAAACGAATCAAATTATTTCCAAATTCTGTTTCGTTTCGTTTCACTTCACAAATACGAATAATTAAAAAAAAAAAAAAAAATTATTCAGAAAAATACGCACGCGTCGATCTTATCTAAATAAGTCCAAATTTTGTGTGAATTCATAAAATCACGCCGCCATCATTGATGCGACAAATATCGATAGAACCATTCACGTTGTTCTGCATTCCATATATCCGATTCGTGCAAGTCGTTTAAAGACGATGCTTGTATCGCGCGAGGGAGGCTTGTCGTCGGTCTCTTACACGTTGTTGCGTTGTGCATACAGCTATGTTATATATTATATACGCGCCAATTTACTGCTCTGCGTTATTACTATTGCGTTGTATTTCGTTAATAAATTCACGGGGATACGTTTAGAAATAAACAGAGAAAGTTTGATACGGCATAAATGTCAGTTGGGATTCATTTATCAAGTTACGCGCAATTCGAAGTTTTCGTTAGACGGAGGCAAATTAAATTGGTTGTCTGGAAATTTGGAAATTTTGCAAAAGTGAGAATAAAAAAGGGACAGGGTTTAATAATATTCTCTTTACACTAATCGTAATGGATATTTGTCGAATACGAAAAATCGTCTTTCCATTAATGAAATAGGTAAAAAGTAAAATCTTAATTTACGAGATTCTCGAATGGAACGAAAGAAAAATACACTGAAATTTGCAAGAATCGACCATGTTTTTATTGAACGAGACAGTCAGTGTCCCTTGTTAAACTCGTCTGCGATGGACGACGCGTCACGATTTTCCTCCCTGAAAACGTCCAGTCGTAAATAAGAGAGCAGCCTTTTGGTTACAATTGTTGATCCAATCGGAGCGTGACGAATCCGTGAAACTTTTTTAAAAGACGAGTTTTTTTGTCAAACGCGAGAATCGATATCGTTGGTCCAGAAAGTTACGAAAGGCGTCTCAAAGTCGTCTTTCCACCGGTCAGCTTTCCTTTTATAAATATCGACGAAATCTGGTGGTGAAAGGTATCGATCGATCGATCCATTAAATCGATTATAATTCTTCTCTACGTAGAATCACGGAGAAAGATATTTTTCGCCACGATCTTGGGATTTGGCAAAGTGTTTTCCGTTATAAATATTGAAGGATGTTGCAACTTCCCTCTCTCTCTCTCGTTTGCCAGATATCAGAAGAATCGAAAAAAGAAAAGAACAAAGATGAATGATGAAAGAGTAATTTGAACGAATCATTTAACCCTTCCAACATATCTATCTTAGAACTTACTGAGTATGCGCAATGATATAGGATAGCATTAAAAAAAAAAAAAAGAAAAATAGGTCATAATTTTCACGAGATAACTCGGTTCTCGATATTTCATTTCTCGTTCTGCCCGATACGAGAAAATTTACAATAATTCATTTTCTGGAAAAATGTATTGCAATAGAATTACGTATTGCTCTTATTTGTCTCGTAAATCGAATTAGTAGATCGCGTGATTAATATCGTCGGTGATTTATCCAGTTTTTAAATCCAATACGAATCTCTGCACGAAATTACGCCGTTTCTTACGTTTACGCAACGTGAAATTGATTTACGAGGGAGGATTAAATGTCCTTGAAAGCAACATTATCAAACTTTTCTAATCTCTGGAAAAAATTTTCGCATAAAAGTTAACAAACATATTTGACACGTTGGAACTTTTTTTTTTTTTAAAAGTTACTTTTTTAATGGATAATGGACACTGCAAAACTGCGAAACTTTCACTATTAACTAGCAACGAGGACCAGTGTCCATTATCGAGAAATAATAAATTTCGCTTTCGTTTAACAAGTTTTTGTTAATAACTCGTTTATAAAACAGAAACGAAAATTTTTGCAAAGGAAAATATTTCTTGCTTGATGTTTTCACCATTTTGGAACATTTCTACTATATATATATATATATACTCTATACTGTTTCTATATATGTCTATATATCCGCGAACAGTAAACGAATATCGATCGATTGTCGATTATAAATAATATTCCACGTTTTATTATTTTATTTCTTTCTGTTTTTTATACGTGTTGGAAGAATTATAAAAACTTTACAATTATTGCAGAAACTGGGACATGGAAATAATTTTTATCAAAGACAGTGACAATGGTTATCGAGTTATAAAAATCTCAGGAAAGTTTGTCGGATCAAACAACGTGATCTGGCGTTTTAATTCCAGATGATTTTACGATAAATATCTTTGGACCGCTATACGCGATTCAGAGATTAGACACATAGATATTGTAGTCTCGTATCCCTTATTTGGCAAAAAAGAAAAATATTCTTCCTGAAGGACGATGCAATTCTATTTTAAACTCTAAACTATTAAAAAATTCGCCAATTTTTATATAATAATTAAAACGTATCCGATTAATAAAACGATATATACATATCATATTACGTAAATATGATATTAATTTACATCAGAACGGAAGAATCGTTGTGTTCAAACGCAAAATTACAAGTGAAAAATTTCCAAACTTTCTATTTCCAAAAGTACGCAAAAAGCGTGAGAAAAAACTAAAAATTTTATCATCTCGGAATCAACTCAATACCGACTCAGAAAACAATGGAAAGCGTGCCATTGAAATCGCTTTTTGTTTTATCCCGATATCTCAATCCGATGCCGAGATATAAGGATTTAAAATGTCCATAATAACGGCACAGAGATTATGAATGGGCCCGCGACCCAGTGGCCTACATATTTTTCCCAGAAATGCGTAAATTCTTCCTTCCTGGAATAGTGTCTGTCATTTGTCTGGAGCAGGGATAGGTCAGTGAGATGAGGTGCGAGTTCCGAGTAAGCGACGAGGGCGGAAACAGTAAACGACTGAAAAATTAACGTTTTCTTTATACGGCGATATCTCGGGAACCGGAAGTCGTATCGAGATGAACAAAAAGGCGTTATAAAGAGCGGGATTCGACGCTTCTAACGATCGTTTACTCATCGATAAGGGATCATTATTTTCGGAATTATGGCGATTCGAAGTTTCTCCAATTTCAAAGGAGTCGATCGGATTTCAGATAAACGATTAAAAATTTTGTATCTTCTTTGTACGATGATATCTCGGCAACCGGAAGTCGTATCGAGATAAATAAAAAGGCGTTTTAAAGGGCAAGATTCGATGCTTCTAACTGATTTTTTATCCATTGATAAGGAATCATTATTTTCAGAATTATGAAAGCTCAAACTTTTCTTAATTTTAATTAACCGAGGTTTAATCGAGTTTTTATTAAGGTAAAATACGCGATAAATATATTTATTTCTGGAAGAATATTATTGATCGTGCTAATGATGTATTGAAGACTTTAAATTGGTTTCATTAAAAAGGTTCCTTGGTCGAAGTTCCGAATTGAATTTCCTTTAATTTGAATTTATGCTGATTAACGAAATTTTATGTGCAATTTTTGGACACCTGT